GAAAAAATAAATAAATAAATAAATAAATGAAAGGGTCAAGGGATGCTGGCCACTGGAATCTCTGCATAAATACCTGGCCTGCCTCACACACACACACACACACACACACACACACACAAAGATGTCTACCTACTTTCTCTTCCAATAAATTTAGTGTTTCTTTTTTAATATTTGGATCTTTTATCAATTTTCACTTTAGTTCAATGCATGGCAATAGACATGGATTTAGTTTTAGCGTTCAGCATGTAGAAAGCCAATTTTCCCTGCATCATTTATTAAAGAGGTTATCTTTCTTCAAGTGAAATTTGGCCCCTTTGTCAAAGATAAAGTGACTGGACATGTTTGTAGTTGTCTGCATCTTCTGATCTGTTCTACTAGTTCTCGGGTCTGTCTTTTTGCCAGTACCACACTGATTTTATCACAGTAACTTTGCAGTATAATTTCAAGTCAGGGATTGTGATGCCTCCTGCCTTACCTTTGTTGCCCAGAATTGTCTTTGCTGTTCTAGGGCTCTCCTGGTTCCAAATGAACTTTAGGAATGCTTTCTCTAGTTCTGTGAAGTACTAGCAGTATTTTGATCAAGACTGCATTAAATCTGTATAACAATTCTAGTAGTATGACCATATTCACTATGTTGGTTCTTCCTATCCATAAGGAAAAAGTATCTTTCCATTTCCTGATATTCTCTTCAATCTCCTTGAAAAAAAGTATTTTACTAGATGGGACATATTCATAGAATAAATTCTCATATATATATTGAGTACTTAAGGCACGTCATTAAAAAAAAAAAAAAGACATGTCATGAGTATTCCAAGAATCTTGGGAAATATTCCTGGGCTCAGTGTTAAGAATGCCAAAAAGCCTCACATTGTCTAGATCCACAGTATGTCTGATTACATTTTTCTCACTGGATACATGCTGTCTTAAGCTGCTTATGGCTAAATTTAAGCTAACTTGACCTCTAACATTTGGTGAAAACGAAATGAATTATCTTCATTCAACCAACCTCAATTTTATCTTTCATATTTTCTACCAAAAATTCAAAGATGTAACCTTTCATATCTATTTTTTTCCTATTCTCCCTACACTTAAGATTATGAATATTTTAACTACAACAAAAATCCAGTGACATTTAAGTATCTTAAGTTGTATTTCAAAGAAATCAAAACATAGTCATTTTATAGTAAGAGAAATCATGAGAACTCTGAATCAAAATAGTACCTCAATATTTTTACTAGCCACATTCTTCACAACAGCAGGAAATAGCTCAGATGCATTCTTTCCTCTTGCAATCATCTGAAAGGAAAGAAAGACAGAAAATAAATAAATAAATTAGGGCAGAAATATCTTATATGACAGAACTGGCGATTGAACCCAGGGCTTCATGCATGCCAGTCAAGGGCTCCCACAGTAAGCTACAACTTCAGCCCCTCAGAAACCTCTTTTAAATAAGTAACTTGAAAATAAAATACTATGGGAAATTCTATATACATCACATATTTAGAAGACAGTATCACCAAATAACCCATGTAAGAAACAGCTGAACTCATCCTTATTATCCTACTTACTGCAATTATCGGCAACAAAACTCTATGTATCAATATAAATACACAAATACATAACACATTAAACAAAAATAATAAATAATGTACAGCATAATATGTACATATGCACAGCAAATTTCTCTGGTCAACTGTATATACAGCAAGTACTTTTGAAACATGGATGGCGTCCTTTACTCCTCAAGCGCTTACAGATGAGTACATTTTAGAGTGTTTACATTGGGAAGAAAGAATAAATGTTACTTGGCTTTATTTTCCTGCATTACGTTAGTGCGTTCCTCTACTTTCCCAATCATTACTTTTCACAGTTCTCTTCAGTAAATCAACTTCCTCTGCTCACAAAAGAAAATGTCACTACCACCATCTTTACATATCTTCAAAATCCCTAAGAAACCATTCATTATCACAACTCTCATCTCTATGGGAAGACGGATTCCTCAAAACACCAGTCTAAATTCTGAGGTTAACATGTGTCTCGAATTAGATACCATTAGATGTCTCTCATCCCAAAGTTATTATTGCTAAAATCAACACTCACAGAACTTTTTATCCAGATTATTACTGAATTCTACTCACTGTCCATAGGAAGAGAAAGAGTTCAAGAGAATAGTCACTAGTTGTAAATATCTAGATCAGAGACTTAATTTCTGACTTCACTTTTATTTATAGTACTGAGCTTTATTCCTTGAACTTTACTTGCCCCAGCCCAGTATCAATTTTCTTCCTACCACAGATTTAGGCCAATAGCAGTGTAATTTGGGATATTTAATTGATTTATACTCTTTAGTCCTCTATATTCATGGAACATATAGATATAGTTAACTTTCTTACAATAGCTATTAGTTTCATATAGGGTAATGCTAACCTCATAAACTGAATTCAAAAATATTTTCTCATCCTTCATTTCTCATTTTCTGGAAGGCTTTATGCAGACTTAAGAGTTCTCTATTTTAGAAGGTTTTTTTCAATGAAAAGTTCTATTACTTTGGGAGACATGGGACTACTTGAGTAATCTAGTTCTTGGATGAATGTTGTGGTTGGTCCTCAAGGACTTGGTCCATTTCAACAAAGTTTCAAATTTACAGACAAAAGTACATGAAATATTCCCTATTCTTTTAAAGAAAAAATGTGACATTTCTTCTTCCTGATACTAATAACTTGTCCTCTCTTTGGTAATTCTATCACAGGATCATCAATTTTCATCAGTCTAAGAATCAGCTTTTAAATTTACAAATTTTACTCTAGTTTTTCCTCTCCTGAAGTTCACTGAATTCTACATTACTTTATTTGCTTTTCTATGTCTAGTGTGTTGTGGTGGGTATTTAAACTATATATTGGAAACTTTTCAAGTGTAAAATTTCATTACTATAAATTACTGCTTCACCTAAATCCTCCAAGTTTTAATATATAGCTTTTCATTTTCATTCTAATTTTTCTGTGACTTCCACTTTGATGGACACATTGTTTAGAAGCAATGATGGGGGGCCTGCCCCTTAGCTCACTTCTTTAAGTGGCTGCTTCAACAAAGCAGTCAGACTCAGGTTGCGGTGGTTCGATTCCCACAACTCAAGCCAGCCAAACATGCCCTGAAGGCATTCGGAGCCCCCCCTCCAAAAAAAAGCCTTAATCCCTGGTTCTGCAAAAAAAAAAAAAAAAGAAGAAGAAGAAGAAGAAGAAGAAGAAGAAGAAGAAGAAGAAGAAGAAGAAGAAGAAGAAGAAGAAGAAGAAGAAGAAGAAGCAGCAGCAGCAGCAGCAGCAGCAGCAGCAGCAGCAGCAGCAGCAGCTTGATGTACAGTTCTCAGATATTGAAAGAGTTTCTTGATTTCTCCCTATGAGTTTAATTTCATTATGGCCTGTGATCCTTAATTGTGATTATGTCAGCTTGACTTGATAAGAACCCCACCTAGCAGATTAGTAAACACTGGGTTTCTGGATGACTGCCATAGAACAAACTGAGAAAAGACCCACCACAGATGGGGTGACACCAACCAACATATCTGTGTAGTGCTGATGAGCACTTGCATGCAACCCATCTCTCTCACAGGAGTCTATCATCAGCTTCTCTGTAGAAGAGATCCAGTCTTCACCATGCCTCTGGACCTTAGTCCCAGATCCTCAAGGCCTTTGTGCAGGCTCTTCAGCCCTCAACACAGACTCCTCAGCTTGCTGACACACTTTTAAAGTGCTCTTCTGTGAGCTCCAGGCCTTTGAACTTCCATAGGATCCTCTGGCTCTCCAGCACACAGGTGGCTATTCTGCATTCTTACATTCCAGATTTGGCAGGTGGCCACTGTAAGCGTATCTTGTAAATCCATACATGTTTTATAGCAAATCTGTTCCTGTAGAGAAATTCCTATTTGATATATGGTCAGGTAACCAATTTAAAAGAATTTAAATCATACAAAGTATATTAAAACTGGTTTTATGGCACTGAAAAGTCTATTTTGCATGTCATGGAAGAATATATGCACCACAGTGTGCTCTATAAATGTTAATAATGTTTAGCTGATGTTATTATAATCTTTGGTAATCACATGGGTTTTCCAACTTCTCAGTCTATTAATTTTTAAAAGTATTAAAGTCTCCAAATATAATTATGATTTATCCATATTTTCTTTCAGCCTTAACAGCCTTTTGTGGTGTGTTGTTCTACTTTGCCATGCCTTATGGGAAATGACTTGTTACATATTGCTCCTCTGTAGCTCTTTGGTACTATCTGTTCAGAAGTTCACTTTCTCTGATACTGATATTACTCAAGCTTTTCTGTGTTTATAGTTTTTCCAACTTTATATTTTAAATCTCTTTATAACATGCTTGACTTCTTTCCGAGAGCATATACTTGCATTTTAACATTTTCATCTAACCTAATCTCTTTTAATTGGTAACATATGACTATTTACATTTGTTACCGATATGTTTAGACTCAGATCTACCATTTTATTACCTATTTTCTATTTATTCCCTGTATTTTGTGCTGTTTGCTCCTTCATTACAATTTTTTTAGAATTTAATATTTTACTTTTATAACAACTTTTTGGTTTTCCTATATAATTTCTAGTAGTTCCTCCTCTTTTGATTATCAGACATAGAGATTAAAGGCAAAAAATGACACAGATATAATAAATCTTACCCACTCAAAGTTAACATTATATCAGATCAAATAAAATGCAGAAAACTTTTATTAACCACAGAACTCTTTGAACCTTTTATTATTTTAAGCTGTTTTTCCCACCCCAACATCTTTCTCTTTTCTTTAAGGAATTTCAATGATACATTCAGAGTCAAGGATAACAGTTCACGCCTGTAATCCCAGCACTTAGGAGGCTGAGGCAAGAGGTTTGCTCTGAGTCTGAAGCCAGCTTGAGCTACATAGTGAGTTTGAGGCCAGTCTGAACTACACAGCAAGACCCTATTTTTGAAGGAAAAATAAAAAATTGAAATAAATAAAAATAAAAATAAAACCATTATACATCTGATTTCTTCAAATCAAGACTGAAGTTCTGTTTAGTCTTAATGTCTTGTTATTCAAAAATACTTATTGTTTTTATTGACTCTTAAAATCAAATACTGCCAAATAGTATAACTTCCACTCAAGGATCATTAAAAATAGAATATATTTGCTTGGTATTTTCAAACAACACATTATATAAAAAACATAATTTTAAATACACCCTGACTAGTTTTGTAAACAGGTAATTTTTTAAAAAAGTATAAGCTGGTTCCTTTCTTCACAAAATGGAAATTTAAATATTTCTCTTGGGCTGGCCAAATAGCTCAACAGATTAAAGCACCTGCAAGCAAGTGCAGGGGCTGGGGGTTCAATCCCCAAGCCTGCTGTGCCAGCCCCACCACCCCAGGGGTATGCTGAGATGACAATTAAGAACGGGCGTGGTGGCGTGCACCTGTAACCCCAGCTCTTAGGAGGCTGGAAACAGGTGGATCACTACGAGTCTGATCTAGCAGTGAGATCTTGAACACCCTGTAGGTCCTTCCCCCAAAATAAATAAATAAATAAATAAATAAATAAATAAATAAATATTTCTCTTGATAGTCTTGAGGTTATCATTACGTATGAGTAGTGGCACATAGTTTCATCTACAAAGGTATGCATCTTAACATGTTTCTTTAAATAAAATGTGCATAACAAAATGCACACAGTCAATACATGATAAAGACCATATTTCAAACACAATGCAGCACCTCAGGTCACTGTATCATTCAGATTTTGCATTATCTTTTATAGCATTATATATTAATTATGCATAACACTTTTATACATTTAAACCCTGAAAATACAAAAACTGTTGCTTGAAAATATTATTCCAGGTAGCCATTTGGTTTGTAACAGGGGAAAGCTAACCTCTGAGCTATGTCTGCCAACTCAGAATCATCAGCTGTGCCAGAGAATCAGATCCATGTTACACTTCACACCGTCCCCATGTCTGCCTGTACCTGTCTTCCACAGAAGCCAGAGGATGACAATTCCAGGACTGCCCCTGTGTGTGCTTTTTCTCTTTTTTTTCTTTTGTAGATTAACTGTGTTACTGCAATACTTCTTCTGACCTCTCTTCTGACCTTCCATTTTAATTACTCATAAATCCTTTCAAAATGTCCTCAGAAAGCTCCATAATCAGAAATTCTGGAGATGGAAAATCCAAGGGAGGAAGGTTGGGTATTGGAGTTTTCCTGGCTTTCCCAGTATTTGCTGGGAAATACTTTGCAAGGTTGAAGAGG